GGTTGAGTTGGTCAATTTGTGACAATTAGTCAACAAAAATTAAAGTCATCCAATTGTCTATTATACTAAATTTGAATAGATAAGATTAAATAATAAGTAAATAAGTAAAATTATCTATTATCTTATTCAATTCTCATTAATCGAGCCTACAAAAAATAAAGTGCATTTAACATAATATAGAAAAATTATACTACATTTCTTGCGGGAAGGTGAGTAAACTCCTCATCTAAAATTCACAAAACTTAATAGAATTACACTATTCTCTCATACTTCTTAGGTTCTTTTTACTTTTTAAGGCATTTTATTTCTTTTTTTTAAAAGTAGATGGGTCGGGTCGAGCGGGTTTATTCGATTTTCATGAGTTAACCCATAACCTGACTCAATTCAATCTGCCTACACAGCTAACACAGCCAATCCATGTAAAAAACAAAAAAAGCCAATCCATGTAAAAAACCAATCCAAACCGATCGAGTTGGTTTGATTTAGGTGGTTTAGACGAGTTCGGTCGGATTTTACCCGCCCCACATTCTTGTGTTTTGTTGCTTCATCTTTTGAAACCGTAAACTAATCTTGGTGAAGGATCTTACCCTAAGACTCCTTCATAGACTTCATTTTCATTAGGCAGAGCATTAACGTTGGGTTAGAGGGTTGAGTTTTCTCGAATCGGGACTAATTTGGGTTTTGTGCGGGGTGGGTGTGGGGGTGTTTGAGAATGCATTAAATACTTAGTTAAATGATTTAATTAGTTTATAGGGTATTAATTAAATCAGTTACTTTTTTTGGGTATTTGGCCTAATTTGCCCAAAAATATTCATTATTTTTTGCTGTCGTTTATTTTCACAGTCTTCTCTTCAAATTATTATATTATTTTCACACATTGAAAATTGAAATATTTTGAATGTATTTAATTATTAAGAGTGGGTAATTTGGAGAGCTAAATTCATTCTCTAAATTAAAATGTTAATTTAAAGAGTTTTTTGGAGTGTAATTTTAAGGGTTGACTCTTTAAAATAAAGAGTAGTTTATATTTAAAGAGTCTTTCAGAGATTCACAAGTATGATGTAATCAATTGTCATGGCTATTGGGACAAAAACTATGAAATGAACAACGATGGTTGCAAATGGGTTGAGGCCCTGGTCGTGAAAAGTACAAGGAGCTATGTTTAAGCAACCTCAAAAAATGTCCAAACCAAGATAAGCCCATAGGATAATTGGGTTGGGCATAGGCCCGAAACTATAGGTCATGTCATGTGGTCGTTATATAATTGGAGAAATTTACTGCGAACCATGATTTTTTAGTTTCTCTTGTCACAAATTATTCTACTACTCTTTTGCCCACTTCAAAACCCTACTTTTTAAAACACTTCGGAAAAATTTCATACTAAACCATACCATTTTTAACAATTCGATTGGATTTCAAACCACAGTTTGCTTAGAGAGATGAAAGCAATATTTTTTTCGAACAAATATAAAATCTCAATACAAAATATAAATGAATGTTCTTTTTTTGTTTCAATTTTGTATTTTGAGTTTTGTGTTTTGAGTGTCTATTTTTAGATTGTTGAAAATGTGTTCTCTTTGACATTTTGAAAAATTGTTTTGAAAATACCCAAAGCGCGTTTTGAAAATTTTGGGTTGATTATAACTGAAAACACCCAAAACGACAATTTCGTCATTTTGAGTTTTCTTTATAAATTTTTAACTTATTTTCAAAAATTTTTTTCGAAAATAGGGAAAATAACGCGTTTTCATTGTTTTGAAAAATTAAAAACCCAGAAATTACACACGTATAGAGAAAGTCCGGAAAATATTTTTCGTGGAAAATTCCACCTATCAAACAGTCAAAAAAGTGAAAAGTGGAAAATATTTTTCTACTTCCCCGAAAAATATGGCATATCAAATACGGCCTTAGATATTAATAAAAATAAATACTACACACGCTGATTAATAGTAATTTTTGTACTCAGAAAAATATTAAAACTTTTCTCCACTTTGTAACTATATTAATTTAAGTTGATGACCCAAATTTATTGGGGGTTCCAATTTGTTAACTTAATTTTAATTTGTTCCCAATTAGTCATCCAACTTTAAGTTTTGTTTCGCACTAGTCACTATATTAGTTTCCATTTTGACGATTAATGGTAAATTTTAACATGTGTAAGTGATCATATAGTTTGCCATATTATATTGAAAACTCACTTGGCAACTTCTTGGATGCTACTCCAAGCAGATAATTTCTAATTTTTGGAAAGGGACTAACAATGCAAAACAAATTTGATAGCCAGGTGATCAATGTGGAACAAATTAAAGTTCAATGACTAACAAGAAACAAATCTTAAAGTTGAACTCCTACTTTAGGCAAATTAATGTTTAAATCCGTGACCAATTGGAACTTTTTATAAGGAGATGATGAAGTCCCGTTAGATCCCCATTTTTCTAAAATTTATTTCTTCTTAAATTCATTTTCAATCACGCATTTTCTACAATTTAAATTTTCGATTTTTATCAACTTTAATTTAAAATCACACATTTAATTGATTTTTATCAAAATTTACTAAAAATCTAATTTTTAACTAAGCTCCCGTTTGACACCCATTTTTTTCTCATTCTCATTTTCATTTTTTTCTATTTCTTCATTTCAACCACACATTCTATCAATAAAATAATATTACACATAAAACTAAAAATTCTCCTTATTTTTTAACCACACATTCTTCCATCAATCACTATTCAAAAACATATTTTTCTACTAAAATGGGTGTCAAACACCCTCTAAATCAAACAGGGGCGTAGTGTCCTATTTCCAATCACTTCGCCCTGTGCGAATGAAAATTCTAGTTAGTCGATAAATCAAGTCGAGATGGAGATCGTGGAATCTCTATCCAGAATCTGTCTGAAATATAGTTTTATCTAAGCCCGTGTTTTACCATATATTTAAAATATAATCTATTATTTTTAATATTTTTTTAATCGTACATTAACTTTTATCAAAATTTAATATAAATTCTATTTTTATTCAAAGGTAAAGGGAATTGAAATGGGACCCACCTGTCATTTGCCATCACATTTCGCACGAGTTAATTGTTTCATTAGCCACTGAACTTTCATATATGTCACGGTTTACCCACTCACCTTTAAAACTTATTCCACTGGCGACTCAACTTTAAACCGTCACACTCCGTTGGCCACTGGATCAAAACCGTTAGTAACCTTGTCCACATGGCTGATGGAAAGATGACGTGGCACCTTAAATTCCACGTAAATGCCATGTGTGCAAGTGGATTACTCGCCGAACTTTTCTCAATGTCACGGATTACTCATCGAACTTTGCTCCATGTCGCGGATTACCCACTGAACTTTGTTATATGTCACGGATTACTCACCGA